TGCATCAAAAACTCCCAAGGCCCAAACAGAGTCGTCTTTGGAGAGAAGACGAATATTCCAACACTGCTCATTCCCACGTTGCATTAGCCAGCTGTTGCTTCCTTTACCTTGGTGGGGAAGCCGGGCCCTGCGGATTCCGGGCGTCTAGATGTAGGGCTGATTGATCTAAGCAGCCAGTGTGACTTCCCCCTTGGACAGCAGCACAGGAAGGCTTGGCTGGCACAGGGCAGCCTCTCAAGCAAAGGGCACAGAAAACAGCCGGAGATTTTTCCCACCAACCAAATGAAGATATGCAAAGTTCCCCTCTACCATGGGAGCCAGTCTCTGGGGGCGAGAGCTACCAAAGACAGAACAATTGCACCCCAGAAACTCACCAGTGCTCACCCTGCACTCTGAGAATTAGAGGAACATGTTCAGGGATGAAAAACCAGGAACTTGGACTCCTGTGCTAAGATTAGGCCACAAACAAGTTCTGACTTGCAGGATTATGCCAGCTTTAAAGCCCCAGGGAGTGAAGCGGGGAAGGAGGAGACCTGGTAAAATCCTTCTAGCCTGAAAAGTCTGCAGGTTGCCACAGGTTCTTACCCGAGGTGCCAGAACACACACCCGTCTGCTGGCAGCTTTCAGAAAGGAGAAGCTGGCGTGGGGAAAACCCAGCGTGCCAACCACACAGCGGTCCCACCCCGGGGAGCTAGCAGGGCACCACTGAGGTGCGCCAGAGACAGCCAAGATGGCGAAATAGAAAACAAAGCGTTTCCCTTTCAGGTGCATGTGGGGGTTGGACAGGTTTTTAAAAAGTGGCTCCTTAAATACAAAGCTGCACCAAGGTGACTGCAGGCGCCTGTCCATGGAGCAGCAGAACGAAGATTCCCGAGGATCCAAGGATCTTCAAAACCTCCTAACAAGGGACCGGTGTCTCTGCCACCTCGTGGGCTCTCAAGCCTCCCGGGGAAGAGGCTCCCCTCAGGCTAAGCCCCCAGCTGTTCTGTGCTTTCTGGATGGAAGGGGAACCCCGCAGGGACCGGCTCCTTTCCAAGCACAGGCCTCTCAGACTCCACTTACTTTGGGAAGATTTTCCCTCTTCGGTTAGGCCTCGGCGGGAGGGTGGGAGCTGTGCCGGGCTCCAACAGCCCCCGTTGGTGCAGCACGGCTTTGGCTTTCCGTTCTCTGCTCACCGCCAGGCGTACCGAGGTCCTACCGTTAGCACGGCTGCTGCCGGAGCTTGGATTTCTTTGGTCGCCAGGTTCAGAAGCAGGGTCCTGGGTAGAAAGCACCCAAGCAGGCCAGGGGTCTAGCAACGCAATGGGACTGGTTACGAGAGATCATCGCCTCCTAGGCTACGCTGCATGGACGGTGTCAGGCACCGCAGAACATGGCTAAGGGGACCTTTCACTCCCCCTTCCGCCTTTGCAACCAGGGGTGGGGAGAGGCCACTGGCACCTGCCAAACAGACCTGTGGGGCGCACTGGTTCGTCCGCAAGGTGGCTTGAACTCAATTCTCGTATCACAGGACTGAACCTCGCAACGCCCTTCAGAGCCACACGGTGCTGGTGCTGCACAGGGTATTCCCGGTTACACGAGGCTAGGCAAACCCTTCAGCAGAGTGACAACTCTTTCCATGCAAGCGTGAGCCTCTGAGAGCTGTAGCAGAAGGCAAGTCTGTGTCTCACGGACACCTGGGTTGGTCATCGCCAATTCCCAAAGGCTGTAGCCAAGACATGTCTGGATCACTTGGGTCATTCCAACAACACTACTCGGGAGATACCTGGCACAGTGTCAGCATCCCGTGAGTCAGATGAGCAGAGGTCTATGGGTCCATGGACTCCAACAGGACATGTGCTGTCATGGGGATGCTATCCACATCTGGCCACCCTATGTTATTCTTCTGCAGAACATTGGAAATCCCCGCTAGGGACCAATCATCTGGGGGTGCTCTCGGCCCTGCAAAGCAGCAGATCTCAGCGAGGACGGTTCCAAGAGCTATCCCCGGAAGGAAGGAGTGGTCTGTGCCAGACTGCCAGGGAGTTCTTGCTCCTTGGAAAGAAACAAGCTCCATTCAGGTGGCCCTGTCTGAGCCAGTAGCTACCACACTGGCCCCCTGGGAGGGGAGCTTGCCTTTCCTTGATAAGCCTTTTGTGCATGTGAACCACCTGCATGACACACTGAACTGCAAGCTGGGACAATGGAAAGACAACTGCAGGGCAAGTTCCCTCAGCCTGGCCGTGGGGAGCCTCAGTCTGCCCGGCATTTGCCGTTGGACTCCATTCTCCACTTGCCAAACACGGGACCCTGGTCCTGGCCAGCTTGATCTCAAGAGCTTCTCCGGAGGGCACTTTCTTTCTGACCGGGCCTCCACCCGATCCTGCCAGCGACTAGCCAGGAGCCAGCACTAAAAGGAGTCCACCCTGGGCGATGCTAATGCAGGAGCCAGGCGAGTGTCCATTCTGAAAACAGGTACATTCACCGTTACGAAATTCCTCGGAAGTTTTACAAGATGCTTGGTCCTGCTCTACGGGCACCGCAGTGTTGGCGTCATTCTTAGACACTCAAAAACCGTCACCAAATACAGACTCTGGCCTTCTCGTGTGCCATGTCATCGGCCAGTCTAATATGTAGCGTGAGGATAAAAAAAAGTCCTGGGGTGAATGGGAAAATGGCTCTTTGGTATTTAATCAAAAGAAAGCTATACTAGATGCGATTCCTCCGAAGCTCTGTGGAAAGCGACAGCGTCCCTGTCCTAGCACGTCCGCGCTGCACATCTCCCACGCCGAAGGCTCTAGGGGCAATGCTGCTCTCAAGGGGAGGGGGAGAGTCGTGAAGGAAGGGGCTGGGCATGTAACATTTACGCTCTGACTCCCACTCCACACTAGACAGTAACACCAGCAGCTAATGGAAAAGTGTTTCCTTGTCAATCTCACGTCCATTCTAACTGAGCACTTTGAACCGAACTTGTAACTTGGCAGTAATACCCTTCATTCTACGCAATGCTACGACTCTTTAAAAGACATCGCTAAGATTTCAAGACACTATTCAGACTATTAACTAGGCTTCATGCTATAAACATTCTCCTAATCCATGGGGCACAGCAGAAAGACTCATCAAGTTGCCAATACCAGGGCTCAAGCTCCCTCTGGCCACTGCCTTTAGACCAGCCAGTGGGAGGTGAGAAAGCTAGGCTGGAAAGTGGACATGATTCTGAATGAAAACCCAGGGCAGAAACAGCTCCGTCCCAGAAAGTCAAACCATCGGAACTTCACTGTAGGCAGCATCTGCGGGAGGTTTTCCTGACCTACATCATACCCAATCCAGTTATTTCCTAAAAATAAAATCGGATAGCCTGACCTCGGTGGGCATATTTACTAGGTGGCTGGTCTTGCGTACACAGCATTAAGGAGCTTGAGAGAGAGTTTTCATCCACCACCAGCAATACCCCACATTTACATTTCTTAAAAATAGCATCAAGTGAAATATCCCTGTAGATCTCTTCACAATTTGGTGAATGGCTGCACGATCCCTGTCCATAAACATGCTGTATATATTTCCTATATAAAAAATATTTTCACACTGTAAAATTGCATAATTACTAGAAGAGCCTGCAACTCATTTCTTCTTTTCTTGTTTCACAAGAAACTCAAGTTTTGGCAAAACTGCAAAGGGACAGAATTTCACCCTGCCTTCCGAAAAGTCCGCAAGAACGTAGGTTTGGTTTCTACACGCGTCCTCGTCTTGTCTAGATAAAATCTCAACCTGTGCGATGCTGCAGGGTTGCAGGAGGCATGGACCTAGAGATGACTGCGGGATGGTTTCTTCGTGAAGTGCAACACACCCGCAGCTAGAGATGCAGTCTTGTGTTGGCAGCATTCCAGGGTGGCGGTTGTGGGGGAAGGGAAGGAGGGGAGACGAGGAACCGTTCTGATCCATTCGCCATCAGCACAGCCATGGCGGGAATGCTCCAACAACCCATTCTAAGTTGCTCGGGAACAAGAGTCTCGTCATTTGGGAATGACCAGGAAAAGCTCCCTCAGCCCAGGAGGTTCGCGGCGCAACTCTGTGAGAGATCTCACAATGCGCGGCGTCTGCTTTTCCTAGCCATCACCCAGCCTCTCCCACTTCCAGTTACAAACCATGGCAATGGTTAACTCCACTGGGGCACAGGGAGCGGGGAAGGAACAATTAGTTTAAACAAACTAGACATATGTGGGAGTCTGGTTCTTTGGAACACGTTCATGCGTAATGCACCTCAGCCCCATCTCCGTCCGTCTCCCACGCAAGAGCGGGTACGTCAGCCCGGCCAGCACACATTCTACCCCCAACATCCCTTTGTGGATTCTGGGAGAGGGGAATCCCCCTTTGTTTTATTCTACTGCTAAAATAGACAGAGGACCAGACTGCACAAGTAGTAATGAACTAGGCTCTCCCAAGCCTTGAATCACAGCTTGACTCGTCTCTGTGCTCCCCACCCCAAAACAGGAAACGGACATGTATCCAGTTCATTCACGCCACGTGTTATCCGAAGGGAGGGGAGAAAATACCCCCACCCCCTCCATTCACAGCCTCCCCTCCCCCAACTGCCACATGGGGGTTGTGCACTTTACCATGACAACAGGGCTCTGTCTAGTCACAATATACGGAGCTTCTCGGATTGCTGGCTTCTCGGCCGGCCCTTGCAAGAGCATGCCAAAGAGCTCTGGGTGTGCTCTGCCGGATTCCCAGCGGGCGCCCCCGTGTGCTAGTCCCCAGCGTGGACTGGGCTCCATTCTTGTCTGTCCCTGGAGGGGGGTAGGGGCAGGGGGAGGGAAGGCTGTGGCTGCTTACGCTGTTGCATACACATGCAGACGTTGTGGTGGTGTTGTTTCCTTTTAAAACGATCAAATTACTGAGACACCCCCCCCACTGGCCCAGGCCGCTGTACGAGGTAACTATGGTTCAGTGGTGCTTTCTGGGTAACTTCCAGGTGAACGCAGCCTGGCCTATTTCTGTATCTGGAATATAAAAAGCCGCAAGTTGATGTTCTTGGCCGCCAGCAGTTTGTTACATTCCACAGAGTCGATGATGGGCAGCGGCACGTACTCCGTCTCGTTGTTCTCGTTGGTGAAGACGAAGTGGTAGATCACGGGGTTGATTTTCACGTCGTCATAAGGCCCCTTCAGGAGCAGGAAGGAGCACTCCATGGGCGAGCTGATCTTGCTTTTCAGGATGAGCTGGAAGGAGAGGGTGCGCTTGCAGGAGAGGTTGGGGTTGCGCTCCGAGTCATTGACTCGAGCCTTCAACACCCAGGTCTGGTTGAGCACGGTGAACCTGGGCGTCTCGTAGTACAGGCGTGTGATGAAGTCGTCGGTGCGATAGGGACGGAACTGAACTTCTGCAACACAACAAAAGAGGGCGGGGGAGAAAACACAGACAATTAACCGGAGCAGCTGGCAGCCTGAACAGTCGCGTTCGAGTTACCTGTGGCTACCTGTGCAGGACCTTTCTTGACATGGCTTAAGGAGACCCGTGGGGCTGGGGGTGACCACGCAAAGCCAGTTAGTGTCAGGAGAAACGTGACTTCTTGGGAAGGAACTCAATGCACTTGAACAGTCCATCCAAAACAGTAAATGCAGGAAGCACTTTCAAGATGCAGAAAATTGAGAGGAGGGGAGGGGAGGGAAGGGGAAGGGAAGGGAAGAGGGAGAATAAAATACAAAGAAGGTTAATCAAATCCACTGAATACACCACCTAATAAACACAGGAATTGCCACACTGGATCAGACCATCTAACCTAGCAGGTGCTTACAAGGAAGGCTGAAGAAAGCCCATGTGTAGACCATTACTCCTCATTCTGTGACGGGATCAGGTCTGGAGCCAGGAGGGTTTATACCCCGTAGAGATCTGCAGATGTAGTGTCTAACCCTTTTCTGAATTCCTAGCCTCTGTAATACCTTCTAGCCGCAAGTCTCCCAAGTCAACAGGCTGGTGTGTAAAGAAGCACTTCCCTAGCTCGCTTTGAATGTGTTGCTGCACAGTGAAGGGTGGGCTCAGGTTAGCTTGTGAGACGGGGTGGTGCACACCGCACATAATTACACCCCATCAGTCAGTTGGCTGGGCAGGCTTGCCTGCTGCAAACGACCGGCATGCGTGTGGTTATAAACTGCCACCGAGAATAGCACAACGGGCAGGCTCTTGCCACGTGTCTCTTAGTGATCTGTGGGTGGACAATGAGCCAGGAGAACCGGCAGTACGCGTGTCGTGAGGTCACCGTGGCTGACCTTAGGGAGAAGATCTTGGGTGCGCCCCAACTGAGGTCGGGAGCGCACGAAAACAAGTACCACACACAGACACGATCCAGTTCAGATAAAGCACATTTTATTGGGATTGTGCATACAAATCTGTAATCAAGGCAACAAGGCACAATTATGCATCACCACAGTGCAAAACCACAGAACAGGGCATGTGAAACACAGACCGGCAGGGTTCGACAACGGTACAGAAAATCCTGGGTGAAGATACATCAAGAAACAGAACAGTACAGTGACTAGAGAGGGTCCAAAGTCACTTCTGCAAATGCCCTCTGAGCTGTGAAATCCAGCCCCCGTTTCAAGGCACAGGCTGCTGTCAGTCCGAGAACCCCTTTGGCCACAGGGCCCACAGCCCACCAACCTGCTCCAATCTGTCACTTTGGAACAAGCATGGAGTTTCAGTGTTTTGAGTCTTTCCTGTACACACCATGGAAGCTCAGCGCACACCGAGAGGTACAATGACCCCCGGGGTGCATTTC